TCGACCTTGGCTTGGGAAGATAGTTAGCTGTCGATCTTGGCTGTTTTTGTTGAATTGGTAGGGTCTATGCGAACTTCAACAAGTTCTTCCACTGGTTTCCCTCTGACCAACTTGTCTTCGTCTCTGACATCAAGTCCTTCAATGATCATTGCCTCCATCAGTTTGACCTCTTTGAGTGAAGTGATGTAGCATTCTCTGGCCACCGTTTGCTCGCCACTCATAGTGCCGACCCTGAGTTCAATGGGAAATTTCATGGCCAGATGGTATGTGGATGTGACAGCTTGGAAGGCATTGAGGGCTGTGTGGCCGATGATTATGTTATAAGTAGAAGGACAGTCAACGATAAGGAAGGTGAGTAACTTGGTGGTCTGCCGTGGATACTCACTGATGGTGATGAGAAGATTGATGGAGCCTATGGATGTCACCCGATCCCCCGTGAAGCCGACCAGTGGGGTTTGAAGAGGGGATAATTTTTCTTCTCCGATCTGGAGTTGGCGATAGGCGTTGAGGAAGATGATGTCTGAAGAGCTACCATTGTCGACGAGCACCCGTCTTACCTTGTAATTGGACAGGAGAGCGGAGATGATGAGGAGGTCGTCGTGAGGGTAATGGATCCCTATGCAGTCAGCCTCTGTAAAGGTGATAGGTTCCAGCCACTGTTTAGGTTGTTTGAGGGGGCGATCTAATGTCGTGACTTCTTTGTCGAAATCCTGTTTGATTTTTCTGAGTTCGACTCGCTGGGCCGAACGGGATATTCCTCCGCATGCGAGCTCGCCAGCGATGACTCTGATTTCACCGACCGGAGGAGCAAGATTGTCTTGTGCTCGGGGTGGTAGTGGGGGCCGATCATTGTCTCAGTTGAGTTGTGCGGGTTGTCGGGGAGGGGAGTGTCGGCGGTTGTCCCCGGTAGGTTCGGTCCGTAGCCATTGCTGGGGATGGGCTATCGTGAACCAGCTGAGACGCCCCTGGCGTATCAAATTCTTTACCTGGTCTTTAAGGTTGACACATTCCTCAGTGTTGTGGCCATGGTCTTGGTGGAAGCTGCAATATTTGGATTGGTCTCTCTGGTTGAAGGAAGACCGTGATGGCTGGAGCCACTTCAGGTTATAATCTCGTTGGATTTGGTTTAAGACTTGCTTCATGGGGGAATTGAGATGAATGTATCGCTCGAACCGGCCAGGTGGTCGGGTAGGTGTCGGTCGGTCGGCACGAACCGGCCGGTCTGTACACTGAGGAGTGTGCTGTGTATATTGGGATGGTCTGGTTTCAGATTCCTTCCTCTTCTCCCTGGGGGTTGAGTTTTTGGATGGGGTATCTTGGCGGGCGGCCATAGAATTTTCTGCATTCATATATTTTTGGGCTTTGGTAAGGAGGATGGCCATGAAGGTCAGAGGGTTTTTGGAGAGGGAGAATAGGAAGTCGGATGATCGTAAACCAGCCATGAAAGCAGTGAGGATGACCTTGTTGTCGTTTTCCACCACCTGTAAGGCTTCGGTGTTGAAACGGGTGACGAAGCTACGCAACGACTCCCCCTCCGATTGACGGATGTTGAGGAGTTGAGTCACCGGACGCCGCTGATGCTGAGCGCCGATGAAGTGGCTAAGAAAGGAATCACTAAGATATTGGAAAGTAGAGACGGAATCCGTCGGCAGCTGACTAAACCACAGTCGAGCCGATCCCTTAAGCGTTACGGGGAAAGATCGACACATGATCTTGTCCGGGAAAGCATGGAGGATCATCAAGGTTTTGTAAGTCTCCAAATGATCCACTGGGTTCGTTGTGTCGTCAAAAGAGTTGATCGACGGCATTTTGAACTTGGAAGGTAGGGGTTTATCCTTGATAGAGGCGACAAACGGAGAATTGGCTATTGTGGAAGGTTTACTCTGTATGTTCTGCATGACTCCCTGAAGTTGGAGTTTCACGACTCGGAGTTCCATATCCCAGATAGGAACATTGTCACTATTGGAATGTAGTGGGGGTTGGACACTGCTGGCCTCGCCTTCGGGAGAAGGTACTTGACTCGATGGATGTAGAGCTCGAGGTGGCTGGTTCATGTCTTGAGGTGGAGGTCATAAACCCTCCAGGTTGGAGAGGTGGGCTTGTTGGAATGGATGGCTCAGAGCTGGTTCTCGGTTAGGTGGGATATCTTGTGGTGGTGGAGGAGGCACAGGGAGGTCTCGCTGAAGTAAATCATTGATCAAGGCTTGGTTTCGTTCGGCTAAACGATTAATGCTGTTGGTGAGCTCTGTGAAATACTGGGGTGGGTTGTTTGGGTTAGGATGGTCGGCTTGGGGGTGGGCAACGTTGTGGTGGGAAGCCATGGATCTCGTCATGACCATCCACCTTGATGGCCGGAGAGAGTGATTATCGAGGATGGGTCCCCGATAACAATGAGCACAACTATTACGCGGAGTAGTAAATTCCCACATACAGCGCCAACTGATGATACTACTAGTTTCTGGGTAATGGGTCGGGCTGATCCTGGCCTCCCACACGGTTGTCCGATCGCTGGCCCACCGAGAAACCTGCACAAGAGTTCAACGGGGAAAGGGAGTCCCCCAGCGGACCCTCCGATAAACAAGTTAGAGAGGAGAGACAGATGAAAGTGTCGAGATAGGATTGTGATTGAGTGCCTAACCTTTTTCTTGGAAACCTCTTTATATCCTTCTTTTTCTCTTCCTTCTGTCATCTTGGCCAAAAGTATACTCCAGTTTGCATCATTCATGGTCAGGCCGTTTTTTGTCCCATCGTGAGGGGGTTGTTGCATTGAATGCTGTAGGGAACCTCATTAATGACCGGCGTGTGTTGCAATAACTTTACAAGATCTTTGTCTGCTTATGTGGCTAATTCTCCTCTTTACAAGTGTTTAGATGCCATTGGTCTTTGGTGCTATGCTAGGTTTCAGTAATGTTGGGCCTTAATGTTTGGATCGTGTATTGGGCTCTAAGTGGGGGTCCAATAACCTATGGGTCCACCTATGTCACATGACATAAATACTTTATAATTTTTGCCGATAAAAGAATAACATAAATACTTTATAATTTCATATATAATCAAATATGCTCACGCACAAATTTGTATAATTTATTTTAGTCTTGTGATGCTAAATTGGCTTGGTTTCTGCAGGTTGTTGAGTTTGCCATGGCTTTGCAGGAAGTTGGGTGCTTTTCTGTTGTTCTAAAATGTGTGCTTGCACCTGTTGCTGCTACTACTGCTTCTGCTGCTGCTGCAGCATCTGCTCTTCAAATCCCTACCATTGGTATTGGGGCAGGGCCTTTCTGTAGTGGCCAAGTTGATTGATTCTTTAGCTCTCTCTACTAATCATAATAATGAATTAGACTTGACTGCCTTGTGTTATGTATAATCTTTTTGCTTTCATTTGTACATATAATTTGCTATCTGATCTTGTAATTTGCTTTCAAGTACTAAAGCGGGCATTTTAATGATATCATGTGTTCATATATTGAGTTTACTCATGTAATGAACTTTGAATTTGCTTTTATTCTCTTTCTCTCTCTCTCTCTCTTTCTCTCTCTCTCTCTCTATATATATATATTAAAAATAACCTTCTACTGCATACAAAATTATATCGTAAAAAGTGTAATAATTTATGACATGCAAGAAAATATTGTAAAAGATTATATACGGCATACAAAGTATGCCAGAAATGCATAATGATTCTCTGTCTCCAAATATTCCTATCATTCTGTCCCAATTTACTCATAATCATTGGATATGTCTTGACATTTTCAAATCTTGGGATTCTCATATGATCCAATAGTTATGAGTGAATTGAGATAGGGGGACAGAAATATTTGGGGATAGAGGATCTTTGCTAGCCAGAAATATACTAAAAATAACCTTTTACGGCATACAAAATTATGTCTTGAAAAGTATAATGATTTATGACATGCAAGAAAATGTCGTAAAAGATTATATACGGCATACATAGTATGCCATACATATATTAAAAATAATCTTCTACGGCATGCAAAATTATGCCATGGAAAGTATGATCATTTATGGCATGAGAAAAATGTTGTAAAAAATTATATACGATATACAAACTATATCATTAATGTTTAATTTATTACTTTTTACAACTTTACCTGTCTGTCGTAAATGACACTCAACTTTCCATGGCATGTCATATAACGACATTTGTGTGCATGTCGTGAAAGAGTTTTTACGGCATTCATTGCAAGCCATAAAAATTCAATTTCGTTGTTATACTTAAAAATTTATGTAAAAAATTATATCAAAACAATTTTAATAAATTATTGAACCGAACATCTGATTTTGGACCATATGACTCCATGTCAAAATGTAAGCTTTTAATTTTTAATTTTCATTTAAAAAAGAAGTTCAATGATATTAACATTTATTGTCTTCATACATAACACAATCAATCAATTACATAAACAAAAACTAAAGTCAGTATCTTTATAGTTTTTTCTTTTAATTTTAATCTTTGCACAATCTATTAAATAACACTAAATTGGTGTGCATCTAATATATTTTCTTGCAGGATTTTCAATTATATTCTCAGTCTCATGTCACCAAAATTAGATTTTCTATAGATTCATCATGTATCATTTTTTTTTAATATGTAAATATATTTTGTAAATATTGTACAGATTTTTAAAATATTTGTATATGTTTTCAGTTTGATTGAAATTATTGTTAATGTTACTCTTTAATTCTATTTTTTTTTCATATATCTTTCGTACACTATTATTTTAATAACTTTTTTCGCATTAGTATATACTAGAATAGATGCAACAAAACAGGGAAAAAAAAGAAAACTAGAAGAAGAAGAAAGCCATATGCCAATCTATCATATTAACCCCCACATTGATCAAGAAATACAAAAGAGTCCAAAAGGAAAATGCAAAGCAGGCTTAGAGGAAGATGAAGGGTAACAGTATATTTTATGCTCTGAAACTGGTTGACAGAATAATTTAAGGGTGAGATGTGGGGTTTAGGCAGCTTCGGCAGTTTCAGAGTTTGAACAATTCGTTGTTGACGAAGTCCTCAGCTAGAGCAATATTGCTATAACTACTAGTAGTAGTCTTGCTGCTTTGGTAGAGGAGAATCGCTACCATGGTATAGCGACTAAGTGTAGTAAAGTCGTTTACTATGAGGGGCCTGTAATTGTCATCTTGAAGCTGAACGCTGTTAATGAAGTTTTCTCCGTCTATCGAAAGCTGAACCTGCTTGGACATAGACGACCATTCGTTCTCCATGCTCACTATCAAACCTTTCGGTGTAAAAGTGTTTCGATCGGTTATGCTTTTGCGGACTTGTTCCTCAATGCGTTTGAACCTTGCTGCTTCCGAGACCATCTGAATGACCACAAGAACCGGTTCGGCTACGCTCCCACCGTACCACAACCTTGTGATGGCGTCAGCTAGGGGAGTTGGTCCCAGAGGGAGCTTGTCCCTCGCCTTTGACTGCTGCTCAAGGCTGTCATAGTTGCTGGTGTAGGTTAACTTGGTTTGTTTGGTGCCGACGAATAGATTGTTGAGTTGAAGTGTGGTAGCGTCTTTGAAAAAAAAGGATTGGCTATTTGCACTACTAAAAGCCACCACATAAAGGTTCACCACATCTATTCCCAAGGTGACGGTGTTGATATTGATGAGATTGACCAGAACGAATCGGTCTCGATCCAGCACATTGCCTGCGGTCTTCAGCACTGGTAGACCATTTACTGTTTGGGTTCCCCGGGACACGATTTCTCGCAGTGCCCCTAGGAAGTCTCTGTATGAGGCCTCGGTGGCACCCACCACATTGAAGGAGATGGAGGGATAGGCCTGGACGTCGCCTTGGATTCCAAGGCTGAAAATTGATAGAACAATGTATAATATTGCTGCTACCACTCTCACACTACAACAAAAACATACTTTAGTGGCACTACACTAGTGGCATATTTTTAGAAAATGTCACAAAAAATGATATTTAGTGGCACGTTTTTGAAAAATGTCACAAAACGACAAACATAAAAGGCTCTAGTCAGTTACTATGAGGATAGATATTCATATATATATATATATGTACACATTATATTCATGTAATTTGATGGTCAACTCGAGTAACTCGAGGCCAACTTTTCATGTCAGATTGCCATGTGAAGGCCAGCCGCCCTCATTGTTCACTTGGCCTCATTGTTCACGTGGTTATTACAATACAAAATTATTTTAAAATTTAGTTATTAAATTCATGTGTTAATAAAAGCAAACGTATAGCAATCATATTTAATGATAGAGTGAATGGGTTTTAAATCTTGTGGATAAATTCATAGATAATGAAAATTGTTATTACAAAAAAAACCTCAATGAAATCTTTCAATAAATTCTTTTCATGTGTTGAATCAAAGTTTAAGATCTTCACGTTATTAATTTCATTGGCTAATTTTATAGGCCTCATTTGGAAGTGAAGATTTTAGCTAAAAATCAAATAAGTTTAGATTTGTTAAAGTTAAAAATCTCAACTTTAAAGTAAAATTGACCAATTACGTGATTAATTTGGACTCACTTCGATTAATTTCTAAAGGAAAGTCTTAGCCATTTTCTCATCACCCACCACTCACTACAAGAATTTACACATTTGCCGACTACTTTTGCCGACCAAAAAAATTTTGGTCGCAAAAAAATGTCATTTGCCGACCAAATTAAAATTTTGTAGCTAAAATTTTCTTCTATTACCGACCAAAATTTTTTTGTTGCAAATAAGTAATTTTTTGTGACCAAATTACAATTTTGTCTCCAAAAATATGGGCGAGAGAATAAAATCTGGGCAGGAGCTGTATGATCTTTCAACGACTAATATAATTTGGTCGTTGATACCAAATCGATGTCGTTTTGGTATCTACACTTGCATACAAACGTTAGCCGACCAACAGGTTGGTAGGGGATAACTTACTAATTCAAACACATATAAATCATAAATACGCGCCTCTTTCACCCCTCAGTCGAAAGAGATCAAAGCTCAGTCACGCCAATCACCTCACCTTACCATCGATCTTGCCGTCCGTCTGTGCCGCCGTCCGTCTTCGCTATTTCTGATTCGTCTTCGCCATTTCTGATTCATCTAGGTATTTTTTTTCAACTTATAATAGTTTCTCTTTGTTTATATCTTTGTGTCTCACTTTTTCTCTTTCATTTGTCATACTCGCCTTGTTATACAATGTCTCATCCACCAGGGCCCTCACCATCGCGATTTTTCGGAGCATCTTCAACTCTCCCTAAAAACAATTTCAGGTATAAATCCTCTGTATCACTCTCACTCACTTAGTCTCTGCCTGTGTCTCCCTCTCACTTTATATGTGTTTGTGTTGATGTTTGCTGCCAGGCTATGTCGATAGTAAGATTTCGTTCGATCAAAGCTCAGTCCCCCAATCTGTGATGTTCTTGTAGTGTTTTATTTCTCCTCTTTCTTTAAGTATCCCTTTTTATATTGGGAAATATACTTTTAATGAGAATAAAACTTTTTTGGGTGCTTTTGTAAGTTATTTGTAATTTGATTTCCAAACTAGTTAGTTGGTTAATTGGATTTATTCCATTTTTGAAGTACCCTCAAATGAGCCAGAAGCTCTACAAGGGCTTACCCTATATACCATCCTTTACGAATTGGAGTTGAATTTTTAAGAAGAGACTTAAAAATAAAAAAACAAATGAAAAAAGAGAGTGAATCTATGTACACAGAAAAATTATTTGGAATATATACAGGGTACCACATCTTCCATTAATCACAAATTGTCATTTATGTTGCCTCTCAAATACCATAATAAATATGAAAGATGTCTATCAATCCCTAAACCAATTACAATATCCTAAACCAATTAAAATATAATAAAAAAAATTAAAAAAAAATACTTAACACCGTGACAATGTCCTCTTAGGTATGCAATTATTGTTCATCTCTATGCTATTTACGTAAGGTAAACAAAAGATATATCAAATTCTTTTCTATAAGAATTGAACCTGCAAACTTCACATTACCAAGTAGTACTATACAACCATTAGACTAAAAGCCCTAATTATGTTATAGACCTTCCCTAAGTGGAATTTATGTGGGGTTAAGAAAAAAAATTAAAGTAGTAGAAATTTTAATCCGAGTTTATATGCTAGGGGAGCATCTTTCCTAATTTTTTTTTTTCAGCAAAGAAAATCTTATTCATTTATCAATTGATGCTTTTATGTTATCTTATGAAACACCAACAAAAAAAAAAAAAAATAAATCTTACTATTTAAACAAATAAATATTTAATTGAACCACCACATATTATTGTGAACTATTGTTTTATTTAATTATTTTTTACTTGTTCTTCTTTGAATTACATTAAGTCCTTTCAAAAAACTGAACAATGAAATACCAAAATGGTAATGCTATAGACGTAAGAATGCAGAGGTATGTGGAAAGAAACCTTAGTTTTTTGACCTTTTGATTCAAAGGAAAGAAACCTTAGTGGCCAAGTTAAAGACAAGAACAAGAAAAACATGAGAAGAATCCAATGAAAAGCTCTAAAATGACTAAACACCCCTCTCTTGTTATAAGGGCCCTTTCTCCATTAAGTGGTAAGGAATACCATAAGCCCTCCCCAAATGAACTTGTCTAAAACCACAAGCAATTAACCTATGTTAATAGTTTTTTAATTGAACTAATTTTAAAATAATAGAAATTTTTGTTGGCCATGTTTTAATATTTTCTTTTACAAAGTATATGTGTCACACATGTTTATGGATGCTTGTGGCCAGGTACTGGTCTCTTCTTTTTATTAGGAGTTTTGTTTTAACAAAAATATTTATGTACTTTTAATGTGAAGTTGGGTCGAATACATGTGTGAAAGGATGGACTTGTGGAATAAATTTATTGAGCAATAAATCAAATATTGTAGAGTAGCTCCTTTATCTTTTGGATCTTCTTTCTTCCTCTTCTTCTTCTTTTTCTTTTTTTTTTATTTATTTATTTTTTATAATCTTTTCCTGTCATCAAAATGAACTAGTACATATTTAGTATGTTAATTTTGTCAGCAAGTAAGTGAAACTGATAGTCATCTCTCAACCACTCTCTCTGCTATCCATTCAGTATGCATATTTAGTATCCTTTCTTTTTTCAATTTTAATTTAATTTTTTTTATAGATTTTTTACACAGGTGTTGTGTTCTTTGTTTACCATGTTGTGACTATCATTCATAGATAAATTACCTGTCTTGCAATTTTTCCTTTACGTTATCGCATTTTTCAGGAAATATTATGAACTCTGACATTTCTATTACTTATGGGGTCTTCATGTTTACTTTTCTCGTCTTCATGGTCAAGTTCATAGTCCATCAAAACTCATGCACTCAAAAAAAAAGAAAGAAAAGAAACAGTTCACAGTTACTGACTGAAGATACTTTTTTTCAGGCTTCTAAATTAGTAACAGTTTCAAGTCCTTTTTACATATGCATTTAGGTAGGGAAGAAAATCATAATAGTTCTATTATGTGGAGTGTATAAATTATACTTAGAGGATGCCAAGTCAAATTACATGGCAAATTATTGTGCAATAAAAAAACCCATTATATCAAAACAATGCTAGGTTTAGATTAATGGCAACCTAAAAAAAATAATTCACTATTCGATAAGTAAAATGTGTTCAGATTGAGACTGACTGACTATTTGATTAGATTTTAATATACAACCAAATCTTCCTAGATTTAGAGATTGCATAATTAATTAAACTCCGTACAATAACCATGAATAAGATAGACATATCCTCTGTTAGTTTAATCTAGAATTATAGAGCATTGTCCATTAAAAATTGAGTACAAGGACGAATTAACAGTTTTTACTTTTTTTTAGTAATGTTTTGAAGTGTAGCCCAACTCATTAGGTTGGTTTTTATATAATATTTTGATGTTGTCAGGTTCACATTTTCCACGTAATCTTCTTGTTGATAGTGAATTTAGCATTTATTTAATCCGAGGAAGCAACCGACATCTTCTCGTGATTAATTTGAGGTGTCACAATGGGTTAAATGCCTTTTAATTGCAAGATCTTGTTACATTTCTCGATAATAGGGTGCATCTTTGAGACTATAGGGTGAATCTTTGAGACTATGGGGTTGTGATAGTAATGTAGATTATTTGATCTAAACACACCACCTCAAGGGTCTCAATTAGAAGATCTCCTGGGTTTCTTCTTTTTTATATTTTTTGTTTTTTAATTTTTTCCACTCAAAATGATTGCTGGATTCCCTTTTAAGTTTGCATTTGGATTTTAAATTTGAAATAAGAGGATTTGACACTAATCATTAATAGGGAATAGCTCAAATTTATATTTGATAATTTAGATATAGATTTTATTGTTGAACTTGATGTCTTTAACGTGATAGACTTGAAATAAAAATGTAGTAGTTGTTATTTTAAATCCTTCATACTGAAGTTGTACAAAGATACTAAAAAAAATACTTTTCTCTGTTCCCTTTCAGATTCCCAATAAAACTATAGTAATAAACTCTCCTATACTTTTGTAAAATTTGACCTTAAATTTCCTTCATTTTAAATCCATCTATCTAAAAAGAGTATAAATTTGTTGTCATTGAAATGATGCAGATTTTTACCCTTTCATTGTGAAGACAGATTTGATTTCTTATGAAGAATTGAACCAAGAATGTGATATGAGATCCACTAAAACTATTACCAAGCTGTTGATTAAAGACTGAACCAAGAATCATATAGTCATTGAAGGGGAAAAAATAAAAAATTTAAACCTATACAACTTGAAAAGAGAAAAATCAAATCTTACATCTAATTTCAAGAAGCAAATCAAGACAATCTGATTATTCATTTAACTCCCTGAAGCATTTCCTTCTTGATTACGCCCTTCTTCAGCTCTAGGTCTAGATATTCACTATAAATCTTTCCTCGTTTTAACTGTGAGAACATCGTTTGCAAAAGTATCTTATTAAATTTAGAATTGTTGAGTACGCAATTATGGCTCTCTATGGCTGCTTTAATAATAAATTTGCAAAGGTGATATCAAATGCCACAAAAGAAGTTAATAAAATTATCTCCAAAACTAATTAATTTGAGATAAGATTGTAACACTCAATTGGACACAAGCTTCGAAAAAGTGTATGGTATCATGCACCAGGAAAATTTTAGCGATACTGATTCATAGGTTCTACTACTTTTGAATCGTAATAAAGATCAAATTAGTTCATAATAAAAACACACAAAATCCTCATAACCAAAGTCAGAAAACTATGGTTCACATAACTAGATTGTCAAAAAAGTCTCATTAATTAACAAGAACTGCTGAGGATTTCCTTTTAACTGTAATTTAAAATAATGAGAAGAGAAGCAGAGCAGACCATCCAGAGGTTTAAGAAAACAAAAAGGGTTAAAAAAACAAAAGATTGGTATATAGATGTTTTTTGTTATAATTGAAAAAACAGAAAAGGGTAAGCTGGAAAACTATTCCTGTGGCTGTGTTATGGTTTGTTTGGAAACAGAGGTATGGCAGCATCTTTAATGGCACACAACCAGATTTGGTGGAGCTGTGTGAGGTCATCAAACTCAGGGCTGCTCACTTTGTTTTGGTTCTTCATGAGGATCCCAGTTCTGATGTTGTGGCCTACTGCTATATAGAGTTAGAAATGTTGCCTAATGCTGTTCTGTTGCCTGCTGCTATGTGTCACAGCGGAGTTTGAAATGCCTGCTGCTGTATTGTTTTGGGGGACTACAGTAGAGGGGTTTCTTGCTGAATTGTGTTGGTTCGATCTTGTTTTGATGTTGTGGATATTTTAATAGTGCAAGGGGTGATTGTTGCCATTGCTTGACCCTTAGGAATGTGTTTTGTTATGGATGTGGGTTTTTGCAGTCCTTGGGAGGACTTGTTTACAAATTGGTTTTTTATTGCCCAGAAGTTGATAAATTTTGCACCTAAGGTTTATGAAGTGATGTTCTTTCTTTTTCATTAAATTTTGCACCTAAGGTTTATGAAGTGATTTTCATTTATTAAATGTGTTCTTTCTTTTATGAAGTGATGTTCTTTTTCATTAAATTTCTCACCTCGCTGTAAGTAAATATCACTGTAACTACATTTTTTTAGCGTTCACATTACATAATTGCAAGTTTCTTATTTGGTTTGCATTGATTATAGGATAAATTTGAAATAGGGGATAATTATGAGGACAATGCACTATCCCAGGAAGTTGTGGAAAAGAAGTGTATCGTGTTACATAAAGATTGGAAGTGCAGAATGAAGAAGAAATGAGAGAAGCTTGTGGATGCGGGAACTAATCCCTATGCTCATCCATACAAAGGAATCAAATTAGATGATTGGAAGTATTTGATTAATGAAGTATGGTTAGATCCTGCAAACAAGGTATGTTATGATTTAGTTATATAATAATGTATTATTAACAAGCTCTATGAAATCATATAGAATGAAGGATCAAATTATAAAAATATAAATGCAAAGTATTTGACCACCTTCACAAGGCTTCTTAGTACTGTTATCATTGTTTAACTATACATGTTACAAACCCTCACAATGTGGATATTTGTATCTAACCATGACCCAAAAAAAATGACTTAGTACTTTAAGTATCTATGTAATAAACTCGTACAATGTGGATTTTTGTAGTGTCGCTACGACGCCGGCAAAAATAATAGGAGCAAGCTACCCTACAATCACACTAGTGGGTCGCGATCTTTTCCGGCAGGGATGAGTATTGCGATGAGATGTATTTCGTTGATTTTATTAACTTTATCCACACTTATTTAATATGTTACCATATTAATGAAGGAGTGTTCTTTTTGGTGTTTGGCATATCACAGGTGAAGGAAAATGGTGGATTGTTACCAGATCTCTGTAATTTCTACAAGGACACTCATCAAAACAGTGGATTGATCCTATATGCAGTGATTTACATGCAAGTATTCCAATCATTTGGACACTTATACATGCAATTTTTGTGTTTGTCTTATACTAACAATATTTATATTTTACAATTATAGGAGCAAATGACAAGGGTGCGGGATGAGTCTATTGAGGCTGGAACGCCGATAAGGCAAGAGGATATATCAAGAGTGGTTCTTGGTAAGAAGAAGGGATACTTGAGAGGATTTGGGGTTGGACCAAAGCCTTCTTCTTGTGATTCTGGGTTTTCTGCTGCATCACAAGCACGCGACGAGCAATTGAAAAGGCTTACATCCGAGTTGGAGATACTGCGTGCAGAGCAGCAGAGCAATCGTGAGGAGCAACAAAAAAAAGAAGAGGAGTAACAAATGAAAGAGGCAGAGAATACAAGACAACGTGAGGAGATGCAGCGGCAACTTTTTGGACTTTAGAGCATGTTGGCGCAAGTTTTGGAAAATCGCAATCCACCAAATTCTCGCCAATAGATAGTCATGGTAATTGGTAAGTATGTTAAACCATATTTGATTATATTTATGTTCAAAGTAAAGGCAAATAAACGTTTGATGAGAATATCATAGAGAAATGGCTGTCTTTAAACTAATTTTAGTTCAAAATTTAAAAGATGGAATTTACAGTTTAGTTTATGTTGACTAGAAAAGAAACTTTAATGCATTGTAATGTTCCACTAATCAAAGGATGAATAGTTAAACCAGAATTTTTGACTGTTTCATGGAAACCAAAATGTGATAAAAAGGGCAAAAATGAGCCGGTTGGGGCAAAAAGTTGGAAATAGCCTGGAAACAACCTGAGATTGTAGCGGTCACCTTGGCCTAGATCAAACAAACTTGTGAAAGCAAGCAACGCTTTGATAGGACGCATGATTAGTTATGTAGAACATAAAAGTGTAACAAAGTAGGCAAAACCGGGGCGTTTGGGGTCCAAAACTGCTCTGAATTAGCTCATCTCTATTTCTTCTTTTTCTTTCTTTTCTCTTCCTTTGGTGGTCTGCATGGTGAATTGTTGCATCAATATAATCTGTCAGTTGACTGCTGTCTTCATCAGCAGCAGATTGGTGCATTGTGCTCTGTTGCTGTGTAACACTGTGGCAGCAATGTGGGTTTGCCCCTCTCTATTTCTTCTTTTTTTATTCTTTCTTTTCCTTTGGTGGTCTGCATGATCTGTCTGGCTTCAGAAAGATCATCTTGATCTGTCTGGATGGTCTGCATGATCTGTCTGGCTTCAGTGTGTGCTCCAGATCTGTCTGGTTTTTTCTTGATCTGTCAATCATCCTGATCTGTCTAGATGGTCATCCCGATTTGTCTGGATGCTTGTTTTTGGAGCAAACTGGTGGTCTATAT